CCCCCTCTTCCCAGGTGAACCAAGCTTATGTCAACTAGACACAGAAAGAGAGAGAGAGAGAGAGAGAGAAGAAAAGTGAAAAAAAATAGAAAAAGAAAAATGAAAAATCAAAGAAAACACAAAGCAGCACAGCTTCCCAAGGTAGAATGGAAAGATGTTGAGCTCTGCCTTACACAGTAGCACTGGCTCAGATGGGAATGCACCACGCCTGCTATTCCTCTGATTAGCATTTCATAAATACACCAGTATGTGAAGCTCAATTCCAAATGAAAAGAAGACGATCTTAGGAAATCATTCTAACAGAGTTTCATATATCAAGGTCCCAAAATAATGCTGATTCTGTAGGAAACACAATCATCCAATGAGCTTAATAAAAATTACAGATTCTCTAGCTAGGTAAGCACACACACAACACACGCATGCTTGCACTCACTGTGTCCATGCCACAATTTCTGAAATAACTGAACTCAGGACTGCACCACACTCTTCCATTCGGAACCCCAAGTGATTCTAACATGCAATTGGAATTGAATTTTTAGCCAAAGTTCCACAGAAGCCTTGATATATATAGGCTTGAACGTCAATGAATGATACTTTTATTTTCCACTTACATGTCACTGAAATTTAGAATTTGTAATCATGAAGGCCACAACTCACATCAGTTTTGTGGATGACCCATATCGACACGGGCAGAAATCATGGAGAGACATAATACAGTGCATATGGCCACCTGAAAGCCTCTGCCCACTGCTGCATCAGAATTGCAAATAGTAGACCCCAAGCCATGCTGCTTTGTCTGTATCAGTGAGTGAAATGTATCCATGGGAAATGGTGCTGAACATCTGTAGCCCTAGCACTTTTAAGGTAGAGGCAGGAGAGTCAGAAGTTTAGTTTATGTTGCATAGTGAGTCTGAGGCCTGTCTCAGCTACAAGAGATCATGTATCAAAAAAAAAAAAAAAAAAAAAAAAGCAAGAGAGAAAAGAAAGCAAGTCGAATGTCATATCTTTCCCCCCCATTTTTAGGTAAATATGGCATGCAAATAAAACATAAATCGCTAGAGAATGAAAAGGATCTTACAAGAAAAAAAGATAGGTAAGAGAAGAAAGAATGTGAGGTGAGTAGGGTTGAAGGAAGTGTAATACATACTTGTTAAAAATTTAAACACAAGACAATTGTTAAATTAGACCACAGAAAGGGTCCAGACAGTTCTTGATGAGACCTGAGAGGCTAGGGTCATATAGTAGGGGAGGAGGACTTCTTCTATCAGTGGACTAGGGGAGAGGCATGGGAGAAGATGAGAGAGGGAGAATGGGACTGGGAAGAGGAAGGAAGGGCGGGACCAGGAGTAGATGAAGGTAGGGGCTACAGCCAGGATACAAAGTTAATAAATAATAATAATAATAATAATGAAAAATCTTGAATAAAAAAGTTATGACTATAGTTTACCTCATTCTTACTTTGTACATATTTATGGCATATGTTTTTGCACACACATATGGAGAATGTGCATATTCAAGCAAGAGTATGCGGAGGCCAGAGGTCCATGTCAGAAATCTTCCTCTATTGTTTTCTTCCCTACTTTTTGATGCAGGGGTCTCTCACTGAAGCTAGAACTAAAAGGGAGCAACAGAGATCAACTCATCTCTTCCTCATGGCCACCACTGGCCTGAAGCAGAACTTAACACATGCATGCCACAAGGCCTGACTTTTCACGTGTGTGCTGGAATCTTAATCCAGATTCACATGCTTGAGCGATAGGCACTTTACCTACTCAGCCACCTTGCCAGCTTCCTCTCTCCCCTGTTTTCAAAATATATTTTGAACATCATTCTTTTACATAGTTGTGATCCTTCATAACCTTAATAATTCTGAAGTGTGCCTTTATTATTCTGAAAAGCAAAGGAGCTTATGTTTTTACCCTCGGTGGAAGGAGTCTGTGGTACACAGAGATTAATAATTTGCACTTAGAGGCTGCTGGCCAATAACACCTCCAGGAAAGAGGACAGTGAACAACCTACTTAGAATCCTTGTGAATATAATTGCAGGCAGTGCCGTTAGCTGAGAAATAGTTTCCCCAGCAGTGAGGATGAGGTAGTAGGGAATGAAAAAATACCTAGCCACTGTCCCTCTATTATTGTCTCCATAAAGCCCTCATCCTGGTCTGGTCTATCTTTACCAGCAGCTTCACTGCTGAATGCCTGACTGCCTTCCCCTAACTTCTAGTTGGCCAAAATTATGCAAAAACATGTCTCTCCTTGTTAAGTCATTACATTCAGGCAAATCAAGGCAGGCTTTATTTTTTTGTTGTTTATTTTGTTTGTTTGTTTTACATTTTTAATTTTTTTTATTTAAGCCTAAAATACGCCAGTTCTTGGCTTTTGTAATGCAGGTGAAAAGATTGACTAAACTGATTTCTGTAAGCCCCAATTATACAGTACATTTCATAATAAGCTTTGCAAAATCTCAGCTCAAGAACAAAAACTCTTAGTAATGACTTGTCACTACAATGGTCCCTATGCCAAAGTTAATTCACAGATGAATATAAAGGAAAATTTAAGAGCCGAGCACGTCTAACTCGAAGGTGGGCTCTATTACAGCATGAGTTCTGGGACCCCTCACATCTGTAGCTGTCTCCTCTGGTTCATAAGCAATGGTTGTCTCCCATCTGGAAACAGACCCTAGCTTACGGATATTAGTTCCCTGCATCCCCGTGGCACGATTTCTTTCTCAGAAAACTTATCCCTTGCTTAGAAGCTGCTGCAGTGGGTTGATTATCCAATCCTCATCATTAAAGGTGGAAGCCACGCACTTGAGAATGATGTGGGAAAACTCCAGTGAGAGTGATAATTAAAGTTGGAAAATGAAGGGTCACCTGCCTTCAGTCAGCTCATCGGGTTTGGCGTCAGAGTAATTCTGAAACAGTGGGGGAGATGGTCTTCTCAGCATGGCAGGATCTGGGTGCACACGTGCTCTTTCCATGGGTTCAAATGAGAATGCCACTTTAATTGTGTTTAAAATGTTATCTTTGGTATGGGGAGTGAAAACAGGAGAAATGAGTTCTAAGAATACAGAGAAAAGACTAATGAGTATAATCTAAATGGGAAAAGAATTGGGAAAAAAAAAGTCATGCATTTTTTTTTTTCAAACACACACAAAAGCATTATAAGAGAACATTGTTGCCAGGGTGATTTAACATTTAAAGTTCTCCTTTCTGCTTGACTGTGGGATCAGAAAGCCAGGTGCTTCAACCCAGATTCTCTGTCTTCTGACTATCACCTCTTGGTGCCCATTATTATAACAACTTATTTCTGCCTCAGAAACACAAACAAACAACAACAATAAAGACAGTATCATGTGAGGTTAAGAAAGCTTTTATAAGGAAAATAGGTTTTTGTTTGTTGTTTATTTGTTTTTAAAGAAACCTTGGTTTCATTCAACACTGAAGGAGTTTCAGGAGGGGAATTGTATTTATTTCATACTGTTTTATATGTTACTTTTAAAAGAAATGTTGAATTTTGAAGAACAACATAGAGAGGTATAGATAATAAAAGCAAAATTTAAGTACAGACTACAACTTTGGGATAGAGTATATATTCAGTCATGAATAAGATCTCTTGCTTCCCTGTACCTCAGTTTCCACCATGAATTTGGGCATGTGACAGTATCAAGTTTATGAAGATGTTGAAGCATCCAGCAAGTTCAACGCATAAGTTTAATGCTTTCATAACATTGTCTGGCACAGAGCAAGCGGCTTGTTAAGTACTTAGTCACCAGGGTGATGACAAGGATATGTTTGGCACCTAGCTGAATATTCAGTACTACAGACCAAGTTAGGATACTTATTAATACTTTTTGTTTTCACAGTTGGGTTTCTTGTGCTCAGCATCTAAAGAAAAGACATGGATCCTTTAGAAAACAAACACTTGGCATCATTATTGCAGACACTTAACTGTATCACAGGAGTCATAATTGCAACATCAGGCTCCCAACCTGAAAAACTTCTAATGAGCAGATGCTAAAGATTTCTGATGGGTCCCCATAGTTCCCTTTACATCTGAAGAATTGTTTTCAGAAAGATAAGTTATGTCTGTTCTACATGACTGTATTTTGTTTCAGGGTAAGATTGACTATGGAAGCCTTCAAGCTGAATACCTGCTAGACAACAGCATGTGTCCCTTGGAAGACTGATTTTTCAGATTATAAGGAAACATTCACGAATTCCACTAAATTCAAAAGTATTTAAATATTTAAAAATACATATCACGAGAGGATTAACATGTCCTTTTTTTCTTATAATTTTTTTTTTATGACTTAAACGCACACTGTTGGATGCTTCAGTTTCCATTCACCATAGCTCATTGAAAGAATAAGAAAGAGACAGAAGGAGCAGGGAGTGAGAGAATGAATGAATGATACCAAGAATAACCTCAATTAGACTACTGAAGATAAATACTTTTTATTTCATGGAAATTTGATTTTACTGCAAGAATTCTGTGTGGTTCCTTAAAATTAAAGCTTTCTACAAAACATAGCGAGTTCATTCAGGCTAGGAATGTTAAGATTATTTGGTAAATTATCTCCCACTGAAGAAATATAAATAACCAACATAAGATATTCTGTTTCAGCCTTAGTCTTATATGTAAAATGATTTATAGCCTGCAATTTCTCCCTGAGGTCACCACCTTCATAAATACCAGCCACATACGATGAAAACCAACTCAATAAAATGGGTATTTCATTCCTCTTCCCTCTGCTCATGTAGAGACTGCTTCCATGCACAGTGCCCATTTATAACAAAGCCTCACATTGGGAGGGATTTTATGAGTTCTCCAGCTTTCTTTCTTTATCTTTCTATGCATCAGCCAAGCAACTGGCAGATTCTTTAATAAAATATATTATACGCATTAATATTTATAAGCCTATGAATTGGATGTTTAAATAAACATCCAGCAACTCACTGGTGCCCGTTCTCTTGTTTTAGATGTTAAATCACACTTACATTGTCCGGGAAGTCAGCCTTTAGTTCTGCGACACTGTGACACCAATAAGCAGCTGTTTTCTCACTGATGAGCTCAATGTTGAGGAAGGAGCTTTGTCCTGGGCCATACAGGGGGCCAGAGGTGGTCCCCCGGATGATTCTCGGTGAAACATTTGTCACGATGTCCTAATGAAAGAGAAAACATATTGTTTCTGTTCTACAAAGAAAATCTGAGATCTTTATTGTATACTCATTTCCATGTGACAATATTTTACCAAGTCTCTTCTCACATTTTTCCAGATGAGATTTTTAACATGCTTTATATTACAGATGAGCATATGCTCTTTTCAAATGAAATGGTAGAATAAAATATTCATTAGCGTTTGCTAACTTACTGAAGTTCTAGATTGCACATAGTAGAATAAAACTTTTTAATTAAATAATGTCCTGGTGGTTTAGGCTGTACATATTTTAGTTTGTTTCTAGTTAAAAAATAAATAAATAAATAAATGAATGAATAAATAAATAAATAAATAATAGAACATTAAAATTCCATGTAGGTCTATGAAATCTAAGTAACACTAATCATTAACTCCAGTAAGAATTAATGTTTAAAGACAAATGCATAATTTTTTGAAATGTTATTTAAATGCAAATCAACTAAGAAAAACATATTACTATTACTAGCTCATTAAACTTTCATACATATTCTAACACATTAACGGGGTCAAATAACATATATATATATATATTCATATGTCTACCTATGCACACACACACATATATATATATATATATATATTCACATTCCTTCATGTATATACATTTGGATGAGTGTGAGTATATATACTCATATTCAACATGAAGACAGTTCCTCTTCCCAAGATTGAAATGAGATTATCAATAACTTCCTGATAAATATAAACAGTAAAATTAACTTGCTTGTTAGGTGTAATTACCAATCCCAGGCTGTTTCTAAAGCAGCATTAGCAAAGAAGAATAACATTCTTTCATTACTTAAAACCAAAAAGAAACAAAGAAGGAAAAAATGTTTCTTTTGCCAACTCCCAATTAAAATTAATTTTGAATAAAGGTCATTTAGTTAAGGATTTATCAGAATTAGTCTTTTAAGTACCCCTCCTCACCATCTTGTCACTTTTAGTGAGATAACATGAACCCCCATTAGTATATAGCAATTAAGGTCAATTTACATATTTTAATTAAGAACCACCCCATATAAAACAATTAGTGTAATAGGCATACTAACTGGATTTCATAACATTTGGACGTTTTTCCAACTAGATAGACAGGAAACCTTAATTAGCATTAATTAGTGCTGATCTGCATATGTTTGATAAGGCATACCCTTGCCACAAAAGATTATTTATTCCTGAATGTGCCAAATGCTACAGTTGCAGAGGATAAAAGGACTTTTCTTCACATTGCATGTTAATTTCTGTTAATTTACATTCACTTCTACATTCAAATTAGTATATTATAAAATAAATGGTATAAATGTTACAAAAAGCCTCCTTAAATATGTACATTTTAACTTATAGGAAGCATGCCAGTTAAATTTTTACTAATTAAGCCATTCCGTTTCTATTGTGTTTGTGCACAATATCACCAGCCTCGCTTTGATTTGCTGCTGAAAAACCCTGTTACACAATCATGAACGCAAAAATGACAAATAGAATCACTCCGGGAAGCTCTAGCAGACGGGTCAAATTTCCATCCTGGCAAATGCTTCAATGTGTATGCAGCCTCCCCGTGGGTGGCTCTGTGTGGCTCTTTAGGTAGGCACTATTGTGCTGCCAGTGTTGGAAAAGACGTTTCTGGAAATGTTCCCTTTGAATGACCCTGGTTTTCTTCTCTGTTCCAGTTTTCAGATTTCACACTCTTTTATCCCTGAGATCCTTCTACCCGCTATTCTGAATGCTTTCTCTTGGATAAATTCAACCCAGATAAAAACCTGTTCCTATGCAGAGGACTTGGCCAAGGAGGTGGATAGAGACTCTATTCAGTTCATCAAGGTGAGTGTAGATGGAAAGATGGGAAGGGAGTCTCTTTAGAATATGGCTGGAGTCTCTTATTCACTAAGAGTCAGGAATTAAATCGTGTATAATTGAAAAGCTGCTGTGAAGATTGCCTACAAAGAGGTGAAAGAAATTTATTTTGCATAGAAATAATTCAGATATTGAAACAGTAATAAGTCATGCTTAAGAGCTAGCATATATGATTTCAAATATGGCTTTTCTCTTTTACCAGCTATAGGCTTGCATTTTTTTTTTCCCTGGGAAACAAAGCTATCAACATTTCTTGAAATAAAAACATATCTTAATCCCCCTGTGACCTAAGATTTTACCATATTATAATCTGCAAGCCTATCCAGTAAACCTCAGAAATCAATTTATGCTATGGTCTCATTTACCAGAAAAAAATAATAGAAAAGAGTAGGAAGAGAAAGAGGGAGCTGGAAGAAAGAAGGAGAAAGAGAAAAAAAGTGAGAGGGAGAGAGAGAAAGAGAGAGAATGAGTAGAGAGACAGAGAAGTTTCTTAACAATCTCTGAGATATAATTTCAAAAACTACCATAAATCATGCATATGATTTTTTTATGGAAATATTCAAGAAGGACCCTGTGGTAGTTTGAATGAAAATGACCCTCAAAGGCCTATATACATTTTAATATTTGGTCCCCAGTTGGTAGAGCTGTTTAGGAAGGATTAAGAGGTGTGGCATTTTTAAAGAGATTATTGGGAGCTGGCTTTGAGGTTTTCAAAGTCCACAGCAGGCCTAGCTCTTCTCTCTATCCCTCTTCCTCTTTCTCCCTCCCCTTTCCCTAGAGCCATGTCTGCAGCAATGCTCCCTACTAAGTTGTTCATGGGCCTACCTGCTGAAACTATAAGCAAGCCCCTAATTAAATGCTTTAGTTTATAAATTGCCTCAGTCATGGTGTTTCTTCACAGCAGTAGAACAGTAACTAAGACAAACCCTGTTGGAAATACTTCTCCAAACAATCCAAGTTTTCAATTTCCTTAATATAAACAATGATAAAAATTCTTTATAACACTATAGATAGGTACTATGTAGAATTTTTAAATAGTCTGTAACTCAGTAACTTAATAAAAATAAAAAAAAAATTTGCAAAATTCAACCAAAATTGGCAAAATTTTAACAATCGCCCAGTAATAGTTTGGTAATAGAAACTTTATTTTAGCTTGTTTGTCTAAACTTGAGTTGTTCTTGCAACTGATTTGCCAAAAACTTTCTCTACAGATTGAGATTTTAGATTTTTTATTTAATTTTTTTAATTTATTACAGTTTATTCATTGTGTATTCCAGCTGTAGCCTCCTCTCTTTTTCTCTCCAAATCCCGATCTCCTTCTCTCTTCTCCTTCCATGCCCCTTCCCCAGTCCACTAATTGGGGAGGGCCTCCTCCCCTTCCATCTGACCCTAGCCTAAAGTAAGTGGCAGGTATATGATAATAGGGGCCCAACCAATTATCCTTAGTTATATGATTAAGTTAAAGTTTCATACCTGATAAAACAGTGTCAGATGAAAGGGGAGGAGGTCCTCCCCAATCAGTGGACCAGGAAAGTGGCAGGGAGGAGATGAGGTAGGGAGGGTGAGATTGGGAGGGAATGAGGGAGCGGGATACAGCTGGGATATAGAGTTAATAAAGCGTAAATAATAATAAAAATTTGAAAAAATTTCAATAATTGAGCAATAACTTACTAAAAGTTTTGACCAGGGAACAAGAGAATTTGAGTGTCCTTTTATATGATAATAATTCATGTTAATTTTTTGTTGTTGTTTTATTTTTTTTGAGACAGGCTTTCTCTGGGTATCCTTGGCTGTCCTGAACTCACTTTGTAGACCTGGCTGGCCTTGAACTCACAGACATCCACCTGCTTCTGGCTCTCTGAGTGCTGGGATTACTGGTGTGCACCATGACACCTGGTTTTTACTTTAATGTTTAATAGCTAAAGTATATTGGTATTGCTTAGGGGGATTAATAGAACAAACATGATAAGAAACAGTGAGACTAGATACAAGTTCATTATCTATAAAAAGATAAATTACCATGGCCCCAGCTTTCAGTAAATTAACAATGTTCAGAGTTTCAAAAACAGATGTTGATGGAGGAGGAAGTGTTAGAGGACATCCTAGCTTCATGTGCTAATGGAACCACCATCATAAAACCTAGCTTCTTTGCATTAGTAAAGACTTGGATGCTGAACATCTGATCATATTTGTTTAAGTTCATTAACTTGACTTCTATGACCCTAGAAAAGAATTATGCTATTTCCGTAGTTACTCCTGATTGAAGAGAACCACAACAGTCACATTGGTAAAAAAAGAAAACTTAGTCATAAGAGAGTAGACTGAGAACTGGGATAGAATGACATTAGGTGAAAAGGAATGGATTTTATAAATGACAGTGAATGGAAAGGGGCCTCTCAAAACACAAAAAACAATCAACCAACCAGCCAACCAACCAACCAACCAACCAACCAACCAGCCAACCAACCAACCAACCAACCAACCAACCAACCAACCAACCAACCAAACAACCAACCAACCAAACAACCAACCAACCACCAACAGGACAGTTCATGAAAGGATAACAACCATTCAATATGTTTCCGTTATGTTCGGTTATGCACAATGCTGTGATATAATTATAATCTTAAGTGTACTGTATTGGAAATGCAGAAGAAGGACTGGCTCTCTGGGTACACAGAAGAAAATAGCGAAACTGAGGGGAGCAGAGTAAGACGAACTTTCTGAGGAAGACATGGCACCCAGCTTGCAGAAGGACATGAAAAGATAATCTGTTCTGTGAGCTGTGTGATAGCGCAGTGTACGCTACTAAAATCTGAAGATTAGAATAGGTCTGTCTACTTGAAAATATTGAATTTAAATCTAAGCTATGTTTTTTTCCTGTTTCAAGTAAGGGTCACATGTAGCCCAGGCTACTCCAAAATCTGCGATGTAGCTGAGGCTGGCCAGGAAGTGATTCTACTGTGTCTACCTTCCAAGTGCTGGGACTGTAGATATAAGTCACAATCACCTACTTCTTTCTCTCTTTTAAAACCCACAGTAGAAACATTAGAAACAGTCTAAGCATTTACTTTGTTGGATTAAAATATTTTAGCTATTCTACAAATGAAAATTTCAAAA